TATATCTTTCATGCCCACACCGCAGAACAGAAGGCATATCATCTTAGAAAGTAGCTAAAGTAATAACAGTAATAGTAGTAATGATGATGACAATGTAATAATAAGAACTACCTCTTTTTGAATATTCACCATTGCTAGGCATGTTTTAAATATGATACATCCTCTGGCTCATTTAATCCTTATATGAGGTAGATACCACATTATCCCCACTTCAAAAATGGGGGAAAAGGTCAGAGATTAATTTGCCCACGAACACAGAGCTAGTTAGTGTCAGATCTGAACATCTGAGCATTTTACCGCTAGAGATCATATTTTTAACCTCCGCACTCTGTGTGTAATTAAATAACTTGGTAAACGCTAAAATGTCTTAAAATGAACAGAGCATGCTTACTGAAAGTCATTTTTCAAACAGAAGAGTGGTTTGGAAACTAAAAAAAAAAAAAACCCATCTTGCCTTTTATTAGGAGTATTTCCTTCAACCAAGATAAGACTGAACACATTTATGGAAAACAAATTTAAAATGTACTTAGTTTTGTTTTTATCACCTTCAAATCCCTCACTTAATTGTCTGAACATCACAAACAGTGGTAACAGTATGTAACCTCAACACACTCTTTATTTTAAAATCTTGAAGTAAAACAAACACACTGTCCCATGTTATTTACTCACTAAATAAACGAGGGTAAAATAACTGCAAGAGATCCAATACTTTTGAAAAGTTTCAAATCAGCAGTAATTCACGGTGGGAACGAGATATTCCTTTTATGAAAAACCAAAACTATGCTCTTTCAACAAAACTTCAAGATATGCCTGCTTTAATGACAATATTAGGCTGAGAGGGACTAACTTAAATTTTATTTCAAAACATGTGCCTAAATTTAGAAATTCTTCATTGACAATCTAAAAAGCCTATCAGTTTATCTCCCAGAAGAGTCATCTGATCCACATAAATCTAATTCCGGACAGCTAAAGGTGTACTATTAATACCTACCATTTCAGTGAATAATTAACAAAAAGCAGGCAACCCTCAACAATTTCTGGAGCACAAGCTGATTTTTAAAATCATCTATTTGAAACTCAGATTTTGCCTTTCCAGGAGACAGTGATCAATATGCTAGGTTTCCAAGCCGGCTCACAAAAGCCTAAATGTCCAAAAGGTTACAGAAGTATAACAAAACACAGAACCCGTGCAGGCAATGTTTCTACAGGAAAATCAATTTAGCATTCCAACTGAGGATAACAGCAACTACTCCTGACCCATTTAGCCCTGGGGGTAGAAAAAGGAAATCTTCCCTTCCATAACTGGAAGTCTGAGGTTCTCTAGGACCATAGACTTCGGCTTCCACTATGAAGGAGGGCAAAAAGGCAGAGCTGGGGTGGGAGGAGATCCAGGGATGAGGAAGGCAAGACCAACTGGGAAAGAAGGATGGAGGGGGGGATGGCAGCTGAAAGGAGTGAGGAAACAGTGCGAAGATGGTGGGCTGCTGAAGAGGATGAGTGTACAGTGCCTGTTCCTGCAGCACGTGGGCTTTTACCAACTTTCCTCCTTGATGCTTAAGGAGAGGGAAGAGGAGGAGAAACCATTGGAGGGTCTTGACAGTGCCTCCCTCACTCTGGCTATTCTCGTTCTCCTTTTCAAGAAAGAACAGGGTGGGTTAAGAGGTCTTATCCACATCCCTCTTGACCTCCTAGAGCACGGGAATGTGGAGAAGGGACTTGGAGGAGTTTTGGTGCCTTCCTTGTTAGTATCCACCCTATCAAAGACTTCAATGTCAACGGAAAACTAAGGGTGCCAGGTAAATGGCAGGAACAGCATCAGAAGGAGAGGATGGAAAGTAGAGAAATTTGAAGCAGGGAGGGAAGTAGGATGTTAGAGTTGGACAAATAGAACTGTCCATGAATTAAACTATAATAAATGTTCTTATTTAGGATTAATTCAGTTCGATAGTTCCAAATATTTCGTCAGGTCCATTTCACTTTTAGAGAAATAAATATTTGTGGCCATGGTAATCATTTGAGGTTACTATATAGAAGGTATGAAAATAAACTTATAAGTCGATATGAGGCAATTTCCCAATGTTTTATCTTTATACAGTGGCAATATAAATCATTTCAGAAAGGCTTTGTTTACTTGGTAAGCATTCAGTTACATTATCATTTGTTGATTTTTTTCGCCCTAATAAACAGCCCAAATACCATGAGTAATTACTTTCACAAGTAAGGAAGTATATTTTATTTAACTCTTTCTTGGGAGTATAACTATATTTAAAAACTTATTCAGATCAAAGATTGCCCATCAAGATGCCAAGGGATTATTTAAAACAGTCTCTAAAGCCACATAATACACACACATGCTGATGTGTACTGAGGAACACAAGACTTCTTTTTCTGTTTCCATGAAGACAGGACTACTTAACTGAAGGCCCCCGAACAATGTACTTCTTAAATGAAGCAGCAAATCCCAAATTTCATAACTTTTCTAGAACTTTCAGCCAGAGATAATTAACTAGGCAGCTAAACCTGACCAAATGACTTGGTGGAGGATGAGTACCAGATATTTAGTATCTTTTTCTCTTTTTTTATGATTTCTGTGGCTGTTCTTCCACTTCAACTCTACTCAGATGTGGAGCCCTTCTCTTGAGCAGAGATAAGGGCCAGGATGGCAGGCTCTGCAGCACATAAGAAATGCAACAGCAGAGACAGTGGGAGATAAAAGTGACCACCGGCAAGATGTTCACGCTGTTTCACCAACACCTCAGATACTGCCTGGGAACCTGTTAAGGTCTTTTCATTCCCTTGCCCCATAGCAGATTATGGTAGATCCCAGAAGAGCTGCCGTCTTTTCTGCAAATCATGAATAGGGTCCAAAACCTTTGTATCAAATTTTTAAAGAGAAGAAAAACAGGGTCAGCTGTCAAGTACTCCACTTGCTGGAGAAGGCTGGGGTGTGTATGCGTACCTCCAGGCTCTGATAAAGCAAATTCAAATCCCTATAGATAGTTGCCATTTTAATAATGTAATTTGAAATACTATTCAGGACCAGAATAAACAAAATATTTGTTCTTTGAAGTATCTTGGGCATGCTGACGCAAGAGGCAAAGTTGCTGAAAATATCTGAATTTCAGATAGGTCACTACCAGCTATTAGGAATCTTTACAGATTAGCAGACTTCTAACTCAAATATTACCTCTGGCTAGAAAATGGACACATCCGAAAAGAAAAAAAAAAAAACCTTGAGATTATCTGGAGCCAAGGACACTGAAAGCTTTCAAGATTACCAACAGAACTGAAAGGTTTCTTTGTAACACAAATTTCCATTTTCATAAAGTTTGTATCAGTCAGCACAAAAACTTATGCAGAGTACGGTGAAAGAACACACGCTCTAGAATCAGACCTACATGGGTCTGAGTTCTAGCTCTGCAATTTAAGGGCTATATAATCTCCTCAGGGAAGTCACCAAAGAATATTCGAGGTTAGTATTGTTCTGTGCAATCGGGATAACATTATCTTTTTAACACGGGGTGGCTGTGAGGATCTCCAGTGCCTGAATATAATCGACGTTAGCTCTGTTTGCTCCAACAAACTGTACACAGTGTGGTATCTATAACTGAAGAGAAGACTCCATCAAATAAACATATGGAAGAAAATTCAGGGTGATTGAATGCAGATTATGTTCTTTCGGATGTGAAGATGAAAATCACATATTTAATATTTACCTTCACTGAAGTCTAACTTTCCCTTGATTAAGCCAGTTGTAAGCAAATGGGGGCGGGGGCTGTCCCTAAGGTTGTAAAGATTCATATCACACACTGACTAAAAAGCATGTATATGTATATGCCTGCATTCTTCCGGTGTTCATAAAAACATACCATCACAAAATTTGCCATGGGTGATGAGGCCCCTTATAATTTAACACTGTGCAAAATTAAACTCTCATCTCAAAAAACCCTTTCTTTCTTCTTCCACGTGTTCTTGTATACTACTGCAAATCATTGCTAAAGCAAAGAAAAAAGTAAATTCTCTTATCCTTTCAAAATGAAAAAGTGCGCAAAGAAAGCTCAGTTTGCCAAACCGTTCCCTTTTCTCATTCATTCTTGTTCTTTTAGAAACCAGAAGTAAATATACTGTAGGCCAAAATGACTGCCTGATTGACAAACGTCACTGAAGAAACACACCGAACTGACAAGCCCGGTCTGGACCAAAGGTGGCAAGTTTTCTTAAATAATTCAAGTAAGTTACATTTCAGTAGAAACAGAAGGCTTTACATTTTAACACATTAACAGTGTTAATTTTAACACATTAACAAACTTCGGATTTTTTTAATGCAGCTTACTTTATGCCTCACCTGTCCCTCACCGTTCAAATCCTGCTTTTACGCACTTTATGAACTGGCACACGGTAGGAAGCTACAGAACTCCAACTGGGAATAACTAATCTGATGTTGGACCTCAGAGGACTGCTTGTGTGATCTTTAAAGGAAAGCAATATTGTCTCCTTACTCAACACCTACCAACAGTCATCTGTAAACCTTCTCTCCAACAATTCTTACTATACTGCTACTAACCTTCACATCTCTCAACACCCTCAACGGCCCCTACGCTGGTGCTGCTAGTCCTCATCCTCAAACACCTTCCTGGGGGCTTAAAGCCGGTCCACAGAGGCTCACTCTCCGCAATGCCTAGGGTCCGGCGAGGAAGGGCATCTTCCCCTCCGTTGGGGGGACCAAGGCCAATAAAGTCGACACCCCACCCCAGCCACTCCCTCTCCCCTCGGCCTCTCAGGGCGTCTGGGGCGGGCGCGGACGCGCCAGGCCCTGCGCAAACCTCCCGCAGCCCAGCAGTTCCCGCTGTCAGCCGCAGTCCCGGGCCGAGCTGAGTCCCCGGGACACCAGCAGTTGCGCACACGCCCACTGTCTCAGGCACAGGGTCACTGGGACGATCCCGGGGGCGCCTCCGACGTCCCAGCTCCGGCAGGTGCCGGGCCTCCCCGCGGACACTCACCAAGCGGCTGCTGCTCTCTGGTCGCCGCCGCCGCCGCCTAGCCCTCACGCCCGTTGCCTGCTCCCGCGGGGGGTCCGGGCCGGCGCCGCTTCCCCGCCCGAACCCCCAGGGTGCGCGCCGTGCGGGGCCGGGATCCGGTGTGAGCCGCCGCCGCCGCCGCCCCCTTTCCTCCCTCCTCCCTCAGTGCGTCCCTCCCACCGAGGCCCGCCTCGTATTTCCTAGATCCGGTCTGAGCGAGAGCTTGGCAAGCAAGCTCTGGCTTCAGGGCTTCCGTCGGGCGCCGTCGCTCGCCAGGTACAAAGATGGCGCCGCCGGGTACCGCCAAGGGCGATCTCGCGAGGCTTCCCCCACAGGAACAGGAGGGCGGGGGCCCAAAGGAAAGGTGATAAATTAGGGAAGCCTGAGCAAACACTTCCCATATCGGAAATGGGCAGTACCAGTTACCGAGGAAGTTACTGCGCCTGCGTGCGCGGGTAATGACGCATGCCCGGAACGGCCCCTAAAGTAGGACCTGGTTCTCCAGGTTTTACCTGTTTCCACTAGTGGCGCGGGGCGGGGTAATGAAACCCAGTCAAGAAACCCAGTAAAGGGCTTGGCAGGACCAGGCACCAAGTGAGAGGCGTCCCTTAAGGTTTGGTCATCCCTCAGGAGCCCGAATGGCCAACACACTTTTGCGTCCTCGGGAGTCTTCCAACCCTTTGCTTGTCCTTATGGGTTCTGTCACCGAGTATTCTTTGCAAAGCCTCAGCTGCACCTTCTTCATCCTGTTATGAGTTCACATTATTGATCAAGAGCTTCTTGCTGTGTGCTTGCAGATGGCCTCACAGCTGGCAGCCACAGTCCTGTCTCCCACATCACCATCTAACTTTCTCTTTCATTTTTAGTGCTACATGAGCCATCTGATACGAATAATTCTTTTTCCTATTTTATTTTTTCTTGCTCATTCATTCAAACGTGTGTTGTTCAGTTTCCTATGTGCTAGCTACTGAGGAAATGCTGTAACCTCAGGGAGCTATTGGCCTGGGATGGAGATGAATGAGAAAAAACAATGATGACACTTGAGCACAGTAAGTTCTGTGATAGAAATGAGTACAGAGAGGAGTGACAGATATGGGGGGAGGATATCATAAAATACATCAAAGAGGAAATCCCTTTTTTTTTTTTTGAGACCGAGTCTTCCTCTGTTGCCTAGGCTGGAGTGCAGCTGTGTGATCTCGGCTCACTCCAACCTCTGCCTCCCGGGTTCAAGCAATTCTCGTGCCTCAGCCTCCTGAGTGGCTGGGACACTGAGTAGTGTGTACCTGTAGTCCAGCTGATTAGTTTTGGTAGAGACAGGGTTTCACCATGTTGACCAGACTGGTCTCGAACTCCTGACCTCAGGTGATCCACCCGCCTCGGCCTCCCAAAGTGCTGGGATTACAGGTGGTGAGCCACCGCGCCCAGCCAAAGAGAAAATTCTTGAGAGGTGTCTAACAGGCATAAGATTTAGTCCAGTGAATCACTCGGGGTGATAGTAGGAAACAAACCACCCCAATTATTTCAACCAATAGAATTTAATATCAAGAATTGATTATTAGGCAACTGGTAAGGTCAGAGAGAACTGTTAATGTACCACAGAGGTAGCAACTGCAGGAAGCAGCTACTATGCCTAGAGCTAGAAGGAGGACGGGAAGAGGTTGGGATTATTACAATTTATACGTTTAGAGGAGTTGCCTTGTGGAGGTAAAACTCAGACCTCTGAGAAAGGAACAGCATCCGCTGGTGTTATGTCTCTGGGCAGGGCTCAAGGCGTTGCCTCTGCAAGTGTGGACAAACTGCAAACGATCCAACTGCTGCTATGGGAAGGAAGTTCTCCTGTCCCTCTGGGAGCTTCCAATCTCCCTCTAGCCTGGGGATGAGAATGTAACAGCTGGACTGGAGCTGAATTTGACCCACATCCTGAAGTAGAGCAGCTGCAGTGTCAAGAGCCACTCATTTTGGAAGCTGGATGTGGTCAGAAAGGGGTTCATTCACTCCTATCACACACCCCACACAGTGGGGCCCATCGTGCTGAAACATTTGTAGAAAACCTGCTTCAAGTTCAGGTTTCGGACCAAGGAGAGCAGCCCCAGCCAAATCACAAAACCATGAGTGAGAAAAAAAGTCTCGGTAGCATGGCACTGAGACTTTTGCTTATTACGTGGCAAAAGTGGACTAACACGGCAGCTCTGTTCTACAAACTGAGCCATGGTTTAGTCTCCCTATGTCTTCTTGCTCCACCATTCCTAGACTGTTGTCCTAGTCTACATGGTCCAGAATGGCTCAGCACCACATCACATTTCAGTCATCAAGGGGGAGAAAGCCTACCCATTTCCTTTAAGAGCATGACCCAGAAGTTGTTAGCATCAACTTATGTTCACAACCCATTGGTCAGATCTTAATTACGTTACTGCATCTACCTGCAAGGGAGACTGTGAAACGTGGTCTTATTCTAAGCAGTCCTGTAACTAGCTAAACATTCCATGACTTTGGAAAAAACATTGAGGGGACAACCAGAAGACCCATAAAATAATCAAAACTCGGACCTTATTTGAAATTATATCTTGTCCTCTCTCCCAGTTGGATCCTGCCACCGATGAGGGGCTTCGAGTCAAGGAAGCAGGTGTAACCCTTCTCTTTCTGTCCCTTAGGCTTCTACTTCTCCTACCCCATCTTGCTAACCATAGCTGTATCTCCTCCGGGGGTGATAGAAATGGAGGTGGCAAGGTGTTGCTTTACTGATCCTTTCATAACATGGCTTTGTCTTTTCTGGACATGGAAAATGCTGAAAATTGGCTCTCTGTTGATTTCTTCTGTGACTTCTTCTTAGGGTCCCACTGGGAAGATTCAGGAGTACCTGTCAGGACACAAATGAAGCCCTTTCTTCCATCTAGCCTCTCTTTTCTCAGCCCTTTGTCTCTCTTACTTTTCAGTGCTGCTGTAAGTCCTCTCTTGGTTGTCAATGCCTTCTATATGACTGGCATCCGAATGCTGGCTCTTATAGGGTGAGTATGATTGTTCAGGACCCCCTTCACTGCACATTTCTTAAATATGGACTCAATCCTTTTAAACTTCTCCTCAGCCCCTGTCTCTTGTGGAATACCCATAGTTTCTTACTGCCAGTGTTACTTCAACAACTGGCAAGCCCTTTGGCAGGCACAAGCAAATAGCTCAAGCTATTTTGCCTTCTGAGACACTCACCTGATCCATGAGAAGTTCACATGTCCTTGCCTTACTGAACAACAGACATGCTGCCTTGTCATTGCTGCTCCAGCAAGTTTTCTGCCTTTAGAATTCTGACAAGAGGCAGTGTCAGTGTCTATACTGACATGGGCCTCCAAACTCCAGGGATACATAGCAGGCTCTCCCTAAAACTTTCTCTCTGGGTTGGACCTACAGATAGCTTCAGTTCAGTGACCAACCATCTGGAGGGTGATATGTCTTGAAGACATTCTTAATCAGCTCTCAGAGGCCACCTCACTCTCATTTTTCTCATTGGCTTCCCCCTTTTCAGTGGGAGAGAAAATCTACAACACCCCCTTGAAGATAATAACTAAGATACCTCTCCCTTGTAGTCTTCTCTTATTTAGGCTGGAGGAAGTGTTTGAGTGAGGTCATAGAACCGGTTTTGTCACCTCTGCAGTGAGTCCTGTAGAGAAGTGCCTAGGAGCTCTCTTTGGAATGTGGTAGTACTTAGTATGCATTCTTTTCACCTGTATCAGACACATCTTATGTATCATTTCAGATATTTCAGATATTTTTGGCCTCACCTGTTGTATCAATATTCTATTGTCCTGCAACAAACCACTTCAAAACATCAATAGTCTAAAATCATAATCATGTTATTTGCTCATTATGCTGTGGGTCAACAAATTGGGGTGGGCTCAACTGGGCAGTTTTTCTTCTGGTCTCACATGGGGTCACTCATGGTAAAAAGAATAGAGGCTATTCATGGGACCAACGACATTCGGTGTCACTTCCAACTCCACAAGGTATGGTCTAAAAGCTAAAAAGTTAGCTGGGCCTTTCATGGACCATTTCATGAGGCCGTCTGCTTTTACATGATGAGGTATATGATGCCAGCAGTTCTCATTGTCATATGCAACTCCTTTGCAGCAAAATGGGTCCATTGGTTTAAGGCAATACTTTGTGGGATACCATGTTACTATATGACCATTTGTAAACTTCTGAATGGTGGTGCTCATGGGAAAACTGTGGATAGGTAAGCCAAACTCATATTCAGAGTATGAATCAGCTCTGGCAAGAATGAACTGCATGCCCCACACCCCATGTGGAAAGGATCCAAAGTAATCAATCTGCCAAAGTGGCTGGTCTCCTTGAGAAATGGTGCTGTACTGTGGGCTCACTGTTGATCTCTGCTGCTGGTAGATCAGGCCAGTAATAGCTAATTGAGCCTTCGTAAGAGGGAGCCCTTGCTGGGCCTGAAGGGTAACACTGGGTTCAGTTGAGAGAATCCCTTGCCCCTTTGCTTTCCCTTCTTATAGTGCAAGTCTAAGAGAAGCCTTGTCAGTGATGGACTACTCAGGCTGCTTGATGCCAGGCAATCTGAAGTTGCGGTGCCAACTGTTTATAGGCATTGTCTGGGACCTTGGGGTTAATTAGATATTACAATTCTTCTATGAGGGGAAGAAGTCCTATGGGAAGCTGAAATTGGGTGCAGCTTTTCTCTTTGGTAAAAGGGCAGATCCCTGGTTCCAGTTAGCTTTTTGCCTGTAACCCAACATGAGTTCTCAGGATCACATTTAGACAAATCTGCTCTTTGTACTAAAATACCCTATTTAAACTATGTTAATGTTCTGTGTAGACCCCTTGATTTTTACTTCGTGATTTAGTGATTCTCAATGGAAAAGTGGTTTCTTATAATCTAATTTTTTTTCTGTATATTCTACCCCCTACTCTGCTTCCCACCTAACCTTCATTTAGTACTTGCCCCTGTACTGGCCAGTACCTTAAATAACAAGTGTAAGAATGCCTTCTGAGCTTGCTAGAGGAATTCAGAGCAACCTACTCTAATTTTCCCTATCATAAGCACAAGAAACAACTGAATTGAGCCCTCTTATACCAAGACACTGAAAGAGGGAATATAAAATTATTAATTAGTTCTATATCATGACTATAGTGGGGACTCTGTCTAAAGAACAGTACCAACCCAAAGGTAATGAACTGAGGGATAAAGAGAGAGACAGAAGAACTAGATTTGGGGGATATCATTTGTACTCCTGCATCATGCAGTACTTAAAACCAGTCCTATCTTCTATACTATTAGTTACATGATCTC